TCTTCTGTGTGTGATTTGGAAGCTCTTATATCTTGCTTAGCCTCTTTCTGCCTAATCTTATAGATCATTTTGTCTTCCTCACTCTGGGTTTTTTTATAATTCCCAAATGCTAACTTTTTGTTTTTAACTATTTTGGCCACATCTGCGGAGTACCACAGTGGTTTCTTGAATTTTTAGCTTTTACTGACAAGCCTAATGCAATTTTCTGTTGCCTTCAATAGTGCAACTTTTAAATAATCCCATTTCTCTTTGACTCCATTTAAATTGCTCCAGTCTGATAATGACTTCTCTACCCATATTCTAAAAGTCTGTTTTTCTAAAGTCTAAAACTTTTTGTTTTTGTGTGGTGTGACTCAGTCACTGTTCTTATATTAAACCACACTGACTGATGATCACTGGATCCTAAACTTTCACCTACAGTAATATCTGATACCAAATCTCCATTTGTTAACACTAAATCTATTATGGCCTCTTTACGAGTTGGCTCCTCAACAACTTGTTTTAGAGACAATCCCAGTAGGGAGTTTAGAATATGTGTGCTCCTGGCACAAGCAGCTATTTTTGTTTTCCAATTCACATCAGGAAGATTAAAGTCACCCATGATGATAACTTCCCCCTTCATTGTCATTTTTAGCTATTTCCTCAACTAGTAGTGATTACCCAACCTTCAATTCTGTCCTAGTCTAAGTAAATCACACCTGGGCCACTTGAAGCTACTCTCGTGTGACAACAAATTTTACCTGTGTAGCCCAAACGGACTCTTATGTTTCTCTCCCCACACTAACTTTTATTTAGGCCAGACTTTTATGCCATCCCTTCACACACAGGCCACCCCCTGCCTTCCCTATCTTTCCTATATGAAGAGTACCCTGGTATTGCTGTGTCCCAGTCATTTTTCTCATTATACCATGTCTCAGTAACAGTGACTAAATCTACACTATCAGTTGCCATTATTGCCACAGGTTCATGGATCTTTTTCCCTAAACTGCGAGCATTTGTAGACATGAATCTAAGCTTATCATTTTTAACACACTTGCTACAGGCACCTTCTGTCCTTGTTTTGGGGGACAATTGGATTGATGTTTTATCACCCTTTTGCCCCCCCCTCCTAGTTTAAATACATCCTAGCAAAACCTCTGAACTGCTCACTGAGAACATTTGTTCCCTTTTGAGAAAGATGCAAACCATCTTTTTTGTACAGCTTATTCCATTCCAAACAGAGCTACAATGACAAAAAGCCAAATCCTTGCTCCCGACACCATTCACCAAGCCACAAATTAAAGTCCCTAATACATCCGCCTGTCGTTCTGAGTGTTATGCACAGGCAGAACTTCAGAGAATGACAGTGTGGAAGCAACCTGCCGTATATCATTGGCAAAAACACTAAAAACTTCCTTAACCTCTGAAACCTCATTGCAAGCCAAGTCATTTGTCCCTAGATGGACAAGTACATCCAATTCCCCTTCCTGCTTTGCTTGCTTAACAATATTACAGATACGTCTCCTGTCTCTGTGAGCAGTAGCTCCGGGAAGACACCTCAAAAGACCACCATTGTCCATCTCCACACCTCTTATAATGGAATCCCCCAACAACAACTGCTTTCTATTAGGCCTCACCATAGTCCCCAAGCCGGTCTCCACAACACCACTAGTCTCAGTGCCTCTCTCCACAACACCACTAGCCTCAGTGCCTCTCTCCACAACACCACTAGCCTCAGTGCCTCTCTCACACACACCACTAGCACTCAGTGCCTCTCTCCACAACACCACTAGCCTCAGTGCCTCTCTCCACAACACCACTAGCCTCAGTGCCTCTCTCCACAACACCACTAGCTCAGTGCTGCCTCTCTCCACAACACCACTAGCCTCAGTGCCTCTCTCCACAACACCACTAGCCTCAGTGCCTCTCTCCACAACACCACTAGCCTCAGTGCCTCTCTCCACAACACCATTACACTCTGAAAGTGCAGAAAATGAATTATGAAGAGCAACAGACTGTGCAAAATGCCTTTTATCCACAACTCTAAGTCTACCAGATCCTACAGTAATCCATCTGCCTTTCCTAGCATGTCTCAACTTTTATTGATATACTTAAATAAATATATACATACAGAACCATTAACATATTGTAAAAAAGTCTTTGATGTTGCTGCAATGTGATATACACTGCCTGTATGATGGAATAATAAAAAAAAGTAGCAATGAAAAGAAACACATCGGTGATAAGAGTGCCAAAAGGGTAGTATTTACGGTAGAGACTGAAGCTCACAGTCTGGAGTCTGTACTAACACTCTGACAGCTGCAAACCAATGATCTAGGTAAACTAAACTAATTTGGTACTATACCTATATAGCATAGTGGCTGCTTGTGCCTTCGAGGAACCCCAGTCTACACTCCTAAAATAACAAAGTGGGCAGTAGTCTTAGAAAGTACTTATCAGATGTGGAGAGAAACTACCTGAATCGGGAGAAACATGAAAAGTATAATACCAAAAAATCAACTCACCAATCTATCATATTAAAGAAACAGACTGGATAGTTAGTCTGATAACCTTTGAAGCTACACCAGCTTTAGGGGCTTTAACGATCTTCCCACAGCTGGTGTAGATTCAATAAAAGTTACGTTTTATTTAACTCTTGAGATGTATTTAGCAAATATTTAGGTCCTAATGGTCTTTCTGAGGTTTACAACCTTTAACCATATACTCCTTTTGCACATCCTCCCTTTTTTTTAGTTATATCCCTATCATATAATAATCTATGAACAACTTCTAATGAATGGGGTAACCTTAAATATGTTGACTTATGGGAACAAGATCCAGGGGAAACATTGGAAGGTGGAGATTGGGAGTAAATTTGGGAAGCTAATACTTGTGTTACTCTCCAGGAGAATTCCTTAAAGACATTTTTTCATTGGTACAATACACCATTCAAATAATTTCAGATTGAGAAAACTGATGCAGATGTATGTTAAAGAGTTTATGGGCATAGAGATATCTACCACCATATATGGTGTACTTGCCCTAAAGGGTTGTCATTTTGGGAGGAGATTCATACTTTGGATATTTTTCGCAGGCCTGCACCCTTAGCATTTTGCTTTCTTGGCCTCTCAATGGTTTTAGCTCTCACAAGTGAAAACTCTTGAGTAGGTTCATGCTAACCACTCGAAGAGATTTGGTTGAAGGATGTGGCCTCATCCAATTGAGGTGGTCCTTCTAAAATTTAGAATACTTTTCTCATGGATAAATTAAATGCACAAAAAGGAACTCAATTTCTTTCTTTCAAAAAAATCATTATTGTCATTATGGGAAGAATATATTAGCCCAGAAGCTTGGGTTACTTCTGTTGTCTCCTTCCCCAATGGCACAAACTCTCTGCTTCTTTCTTTCCCTTCTTCTAATCTTGTCTCTATTACCTTCTTTCTTCTATTACCTTCTATTTTTTGTTTTTCTTTTGAGGGTACTTCACCTTCACTTATGACAATTGTAAACTCACAATGTAGAAGTCTATATTACTTGTAAGCTGTGGTACATACTTTTCTACCTTTTAATTCCTGTTTTGCTACTTTTACTTAATTATTTGGATCTTTAGAGCTTCTAATTGCACATTAAGCTTTATAACTATGAATACTGATTACTAATCTCTGTTTTTCATGATTCATGTATGTATTTTCAAGTATTCATTGTTATCTTATTCCACCTTAGGTTGTTTCTTTCAAGTACTGAGTTTGGGTTGAAACGTTGTTGAGTCCACTGTATTGTAATCAATCTGCTTCAGAAGTTATTGCATTTGTTACTCCGTTATTTATTGTCTCACTCCAGTTCATGGGTCAGATCACATTTTTCTCAGTTGATCTGTGAACCAAATGACAGGAAGACGTTCCCATTGGTTTACTGCAAAATATATAACGCATACATATATATTTATACATATTTTTATATATTGGAAGGCAGGGCCTGAAGTTGTGGGAGGGGCTATGACCCTTTAAAAGAGACTCCCCCTCCTACCTAACTTACCTGCTGGTCCAGTCGTACTTTTGGCAGCTCTCAGGACAGTTGCAGCTCTCAGCCTCCTGCAGACGGCTCGCCAGTGGCTCCTTCTGCCCGCTGCAGTGATTCCCTGCCCGATCAGTGAGTGAGCAGAATGGTATCATTGTACCATTCTGCAGGCCTAATATAGCCCGACCCGCCGAGGTCCAAGGCTACTGTTTACACACAGGGGGACAGCAGACCCCCCACGGACCCAGGTCATGGGGGTCCGCGGTTTTCCACTTGGGGGCTCTGTACTTTGCAGCAGCATACCCCCCTACACTAGAGCAAGGGGGCTTTAAACACAGATTTGCGGACTCCCCCCTCCCCTTACAGTAAGGGCACAGAGGCCCATTACACCGGGCCCCCTACCCTAATAGGAGGGACACACTGGGCCTTCACGCCGGCTTTTCCGGCTCCCAAACCCCCTCCCCCTAATATTAGGGACCAGAAGACCGTCACGCCGGCATCGCTGGCTCCCAACCCCCTTCCCTAACAGTAGGGACACGGAGGTCCTTCCAAGCCACACCCCCTTTTCTCATAGGGGCACGGAGGTTCACACACACGATCCGCCCCCTCCCCCCCCCTATCAATTGTGGACACGGAGGCATGGCACAAACGGCCCTACAGGCTCTTAATCCCCCTCCCCCCCCCCCTCCCAACCCCGTCCGAAGTATACTCTCTCTCGGCAGCTCCCTCCACAGGCGCAGGTTTGCTGTCGGCCGGAAAGCACGATAAAGTACAGCACTGCAACCGCAAAGCAGGCTGTACACTCAAACGTCAGTCAAACACACATCACTCACAGGCATTCAAAGTTGGAAAATAAATAAATAAATATGTAGCTGTTATATAAAAAAGAATAATAAATATGTGGCTGGTTATAGAATAAGTATAATAAATATGTGGCTTGTTTATTAAACAGGAATTATAATATGTGACTGGTTATAATAATAATAATAATAATAATAATATGTGGCTGGTTTTATATAAGGTATACAGGTATTATACAGGTACTATATACATATAGTTCAGGATGGTGCACAGCACTACGCCACCTGGTGGCCATGCTGCATTTCATACCCCTGCATATTTAAATATCAATTGTAGCCTTTATAATTTGTTTGTAATTGGTATGGGCATTGGGTATCATGCACTAGTTCTCAAGTCTTACATGGGGAACATGCAACAGTATATGTAAAAACTCGGTATTTGTCATTTGATCTCTGGATCTGCTTACAGGATTCAGAGACCTAAACAAAGTCAAGCGTATTATGTTTCCTTCCATTGCTATGGGCACGATACATTTCAAACCATACGTTTCGTTACTCAGATACATACGGCACAAACACATAAAGGTATGCTAGATACAAACGGTAGCGAGCAAACATTTAACATACTACCATAACTTATTCTGACACGTGTTACAGTCTCCACACGCCAAGCTTAGACAGACTTGGCTCATTAGATCCTACAGTATATGTGACGTACCAGAACAATTCTTACGTCATCAAGGTACATAGGTGTCCATAGGGGACGCAACTAATGCGATTTATGGGGTATTTTCAGCAGCGACATATCAGCACAACTCATATGTACCCAATGCCTTCCATTTTTTGTCATTTATCATCTGGGTTAGGTCCCCCCCCCCAGAATCTCAGAGTACTGCAGAACACCGTACATACAATGTTCATACAGGTACTTTGCTCTCGGTTCCTTAAACACTCATATAGTATAGGAAATTCATCCCATAAGAGGCAAGGGGGTATGGCCACCTAGGTATTTCTTCCAGGCACCTTATGCCTTAGAAACAGAGGTCCTGCGAGGCCAACACCCATCCTCCACGAAAGAGGTAATAGCGCCCACGGGCCAAATCATAGCTAGACGCCTCGCATGTTGCATAGCAAGGGAATCACTCGTCACACCCCCTCAATAGATCAAAGACTCATCCCTGGTAAGCCCACATCCAGCAGATCACCCCCTCGCGCCAACCATAGATATAGTCGACCCAGCCACTTGGCAACTAGTAGAGACTCACCTGTCACCAGTCTAATGAATTGTTTTCGCCACTGCGGCACTAGTTAAAGCAACTGTATACATCCTCAAGAGGAATTCAGGATTCCTACATATATTTCAGTATGTACCTAGTTCCAGAAGAAGGAGATGACATTGCCATCTCAAGTACTCCAACTAGGACGGCCAACCCTACAACAAGGAGATTCCGGCAGGCCACATTCTAGTAGATCGTGGACCAGCCCACAAATTACGCAAGGCAACATAACCTTTACACCTACTACCCGCAAAACAGAACTATGCAGGCTAATGCAAACCAATACTAAACAATCAGAAATGGGGACAAGCACAAGTGGCACGAACAATGCCAACCGGTATACAAGGATCATCTCTATAGTAACATCCATGAGGCAGATGTCCGATAGACTACAGAGAAGCTGTCCAGTCATGACACCAGAAACCACTCGCACTGATATTCCAGGCCATTCCCAAATGGTTGTTGCCTTCCTGGTCTTGTGTCAGTACAGACACTACTGCATGCCACATCTCTCAGCCTATATTCCAGGCAAATTTGGTCCAGTACGTCTACCCTCAGGTCGGTTGACTCAGCAAGTATATAGTATATTTTAGTCACGGCATTACAGCACCTCTATCATGTTCCCCATGTAGCCCCTACAACGATCATATCTATTGCTGGGGGTTGCTGTTGATGTCAGTGTGGCCATATTTCAATTATGGCTACCCTGTCATGGCCAGTAATTTTCAACTGATCTACAAACTTACAATAAACGACCAACCCCACCCCATTAAATTCCATTCAGACTTACGTTACCTCCCAGTACCACTGGAACTACATTGGGCCTCTCTCAAATTCTTAGGCATAGTCCTCACACAAAGCCATCTATGGGCCTTTTGGCAACATTATTCAGGTAACCTTAGGGGACAAATACGTCTTATTTGCAACCCCTCATTTGAGCACCAAGTTCACATATCAGCTGGAGAGGAATGTATGCATAAAGTGCAGCTACCTCACAGCTTCTACCTGTAAATCAGCACGTCTTATAGTAGTATACTTCTGCTATTTCGGGCACTGTCCACATACAGCCACACAGTAGCTCTCCTCAAGACCCTATCTACACGGCCTACTTCTGGCCAAAAGCACAGAAGGTAATAATTCCCTCATTACAGACGTTCTCCTTACCTATCATTGTACTGTGTCAGTCTAGCATATTGTCCATTTGCGATGCATGCTACATGCCACATCCATTATGATTCATCCTGAGTTATCATGTGGGTCAAATAAGTTTCCCGGGGTCGTCCTTAGTAGCCAGCCGCCATTGGACTTACATTCTCAATTCCAGACTGGACTATTCCCACATCACCGCTGCGTATTAGACCAGTTCATACATATAATTTTATACTATCCTTCCCGCTTCCCTGGCTATTGGACTGCACGGGCAACCTTGGTACAAGTTACCACATTAGCTATGCTGTACGGCCTTACCCAGCATCTAGGCTTTTAAGTAATTCCAGCTCACAAGGGCAACCATGACCGTAGCATACCACGGCCAAATTTATTCTCAACCACGCTCTTCAGACGTTGCAAATGACCCATCAAAGGGCTATCCACTATAGCATACTGACAGCCCCTCATTTGGGCTAGTATATACGGCATAGGAGTTACAATTTTGACATAAGTTTGCAATTTGTCACAACCTACCACAGCAGGCCTCTACACGTGGCCCTCACTAGGCCATCACTCTCAGGTTACGTATGACCCACTGCGAGCAATCCACTACGATGCAATTCTCACCCACAGGGGGGCAAGTACATACGACCATGGTCACGTTAGACCACTCAAATCCTCCCTATACGGCCTTTTCTCAGCATTTACAACTACAGTCACAGACACTTACGTAATCTCCAATATTAGTTCCCTCTGGTAAAGTAGAAATGTCCCACATACTTCAAACATATTTCAGGTTCTTCTAGCGGAAGGATGCCCAGCGGGAACTCACCAGGCACAATTTACTTAGGTGTCTCTTCCCGATACATATATTTATATATGTCTTTAACTAGGGTCATCTACATATGTAATCACCCCGATGCAGCAGCATACACAGGGCTTGCTGCAAGCTCAGGGACAGTTGGCTAGGGGGTAGGTGGCCAGAGAAGTAAGCAGATCGAAGGTTCCTTTAAAGAACTCTGCACGCCTATCCATCATAGCCGCAGCAGCAACATGAGGTCAATTAAGGGCAAGCAGAACAGTTCAAGGTCATTGGCCACGTCATAAACAAGGCCGGTTTTGTATCCGTTATGAATTCATCAGACGACTAACGTAGGTGAAGCTTGTCACCAATTTTACCTGGTATGTTACCACGTACCAGTCATTTACAATACAGCTGCTGACCAGTTATCTAGTGTTCAGGCGTTCAGGAGGCCCCTAACAACTACCTTACCGATAGCCACGATTGCCCCACCAGCTCCACGCATACCTACGGAACAGAACAGTTGCTGAGTCACAGCCGGAATTCACACAGTTCGCCCTCAAAGAATACGCACAATGATATGACAGAGCTTACTGCATATATCGAAGTTCATGTCAGATCACCACCTTACAAATGGTTCAAGAGTACACAGTGGTTTTTTGCCACTTTTTGCCACACCAATAATTGTCACACAACACTATTAAGTTATATCTCCCGGGCACTCTACACCATAGGTTCTCGGTTGCAAACACCATTCTCAAAGCTGCCATGTCCTTTGCTTTTATGGTTCCCGCAACCAGAGAATTTACCATCACAGGGCAACACGATTCCAAGCTTTGCCTACGATATTCTAACCTGTACAAATACAGGGTCACGACGTATTGACTTACCATCAACTAAGACCAGCCAGAGGGGTCACGAGGTACTTATTCAGTACTATCTCACCAAACGACGCATACCCCAGTCGACACAGGAATTAAGGAACGCATTTGTGATATGTCATCGTAATAAGCTAACTCCATGTCTTGTGTTTTCGTAATAACATCTTTGATTACATTATATGGGTATTCTTTTTGCCCACTTATTTACAGGCCTACCACACACGTCGGTTTCGGCACCCCTCTACCGACTTTTTATTATTATTGTGATAAGTATACTCACTAGCTATTTCATACTATACTGGAATGGCCCCGACTACAAATTGGAAGGCAGGGCCTGAAGTTGTGGGAGGGGCTATGACCCTTTAAAAGAGACTCCCCCTCCTACCTAACTTACCTGCTGGTCCAGTCGTACTTTTGGCCCACCCTCCTCTCCCTCTATTCAATACTATTTAAGGTAAGCCCACTTATTTACAGGCCTACCACACACGTCGGTTTCGGCACACCTCTACCGACTTTTTATTATTATTGTGATAAG